GTGTATTTCTCTGTGATTTTGAAGACGATCTCACCTTTGCGGCATCCACTGAAAGTTGTGGGGGAAATGCGATAATCACAGAAAACGTCGCAAGTTACAATAAACCTCTTATTATTTGAATAAGCTTTGTATCTGATTTAGACATTTTAACTGCCGTTTAAATTGCATAACAACCAGTACAATATTCAACGCAATCTACGCAATCTTGTTTTACTTAGATAACTTGCTGTTCCTACCTTATCTTTATCTGAGGAGTGAGTCGAGTGCTGCATCACTCATTCAGTAACAGAAGAGAAGGAAAAGAACTTGACAGCAAAGCTTGTTTTTCCTTAATGAATATGTATTCCACCAATTTATCTGTACTCCAACTAGATCACTTTGGTTCGTTCTTTTTCCCCTGTGACAATGTGGCACCCACTTTACAGCAAATGCCCTTATGTTTCCAGGAAAAATAGCACAGTAAATCCTTAAAATCAGATCAAAGGATTCAAATACGACTAGGTTATTGTCAGTTCTGAAACAGTGCTTCTAGACAAAAGCTTATCAATATGTTAACGCTTCACTTCATGGCCTATCACCGCTGTCAGAAGATTGTGGTTAATTTGACAAATTTACAGCCTTTTTAAAAGAATAATTTTCATAAGTTTCGCCATGTTTAACAATGAATGTAGGTCACATAGTATACAATTTTGCCTTAGCTATGGTTGTGATCAAAACTTCTTAGGGACTTGAAATAAGGCTTTTAGAAAAGGAATGAGAAGAGAAAGGAGGTTCTCCAATCTTCTCGGCCTAGTTGTCCGCAATTCCCTTACTTCCTCCCCCTCCCCCATTTTTCTACACCCTCACCACGCCCTAAAAGTCTTCCTGCTTTTTGGTCAGCTGGTTATGCTCTTTCCCATTTCCCTCTCGGTCTCATGAACATGCAATATTTCTGATCAGCGGTAATTTTCAAGATGGCGGCCGTCTAGAGGAAAACTACTTTTCTTCATATTTCCCTAAATTTAGAAGTATCTATTCATTCTAAAAAACATTTTGTATCCTTAAGATGTCTCCGTATCTTAGCCGATAGCTTTAAAGCTTTTCTGTAGACAAAAATGGAGAGACTTCATCCAGGACACAAATTTTCTGCCAAAGAACGCACAACTGACGTCTGGACAGAGGAACAAGTGGATTTTGAGTCACTCTTGTTGTCACCTTTGATACTGAAAGGATTGACTGATTCTGGCTTTGAGAAACCTTCACCTATACAGCTGAAGGCTATTCCTTTAGGGAGATGTGGTCTTGGTGAGTTATCTTGTATAGTCTTAAATTTAACTTCTGAAAATAATCTGGCAGAAATCTGACACGTATACCCAGCGTGGACGATCGGTGAAATCGATGACAGATAACAATCAATATCAATCGATGATAATTAATCGTCTAATATTGGAAATCGATAACTAATTGATCGGAAATATACTCTTGAGGTGCGGGGATTTCCTGGAGAGTTATGCGATATTATACAGATACAGGTATTACTAAGGTTGTGTCTAGATGGGATACTCACAGTCAAGGTGATTGAGAGAGACTAGGGAGAGTATAATTGTCAGGGGAATTTCATTCAGTCGGTTAGTAGTCGTACACTACGAAAGCACAAATTAAGCTATAATAAATATTCACGTGCTTAAATATGACTAAAAAATGAGACCACCTAAGCAAATTCGCTTCGTTGTCTAGTGGTTAGGTTTAGAGTTAGGGTTAGGGTTTCGATTTTTGGTGTCTTCACTTGAATGTGCGTGATACAGGAAAAGACCATGCCTGATATGAAACCTTACCAGCACTGCTCATCTGCTTGCAATCTGGTACAATATAGTTTGGGATTCTGAGCATTTCTTTGCAGAAATAAATGATAAACAACTTATTGACAAACAACTGCATTTTACTCATCACTTATATTTTGGCTCACCCAAAGGTTCGCCAAAACTTTGTGACTCGTGAAAATACACAGCCGTATCAGATGCTTAGCCAACTGATAACCTCTATGTATATATGCTAAAAATTCATTTGTATTTTTAGCATATCATTATACTATTATCATATTATTTATTATTATACAAGCATCAAAATTTCCACCCAACCCACCCCTCCCCAGGCATTTGACCAGCTACAGATCCCTGAATCAGGTGTCTTTTAGTTACTATAATATTTACTGAGAAATAATAATACTGTATGTTCTTGTCCTTTCTGTGATAGACTTGATAGCTCAAGCCAAGTCTGGTACTGGTAAAACCTGCGTATTTAGTGTTATTGCTTTGGAAAATGTTCTTATTGAAAACCCTGCTACTCAGGTAAATAACTATTATAATCATCAAGAATCTGATAAACGGTGATTGGAAAAATTCAGCATTAATTAGATGGATTTCATCAGTATGCAAAAAGAAATCAGGGACTGTAAAAAAAATCCAAATTAAAAGAGGGGACCATGGCCACATCAACCCTCCTAAATCATCCTATGGTGTAGCAGTAGTGTTGTCATCTCTCACCTCTGGGGTCATTGTCTGATTCCTGGATTGAGCATCACATGTGAGAAGAGTCATTGAGTCTCTTGAGTACTTAGTTAATAAATTCCAATCTGATATATGAGTTAGCCTTGCCATGACTCAGACCATTTTAAGTTTGTTTAAAGGTTCTGTTGATATTTATGTTTTGATGTAATCTTTCTTAGCTTAATAAGTTAAAAAATAATATATATTTGTGTTCTACAGTGTATGTTTGTTACATATAAATCTGATTTTACCCACACACCCTGTATTTTCCTTCCGTAGGTGTTAGTCCTAGCCCCAACAAGAGAAATAGCAGTACAAATAAAAGATGTAGTAAATGCCATTGGATGTCACTTGAAAGGCTTGAGTTGCCAGGTTTTTATAGGTGGACTACCTGTGGATGATGATAAAAGAGTATTAAAGGGCTGTCAGATTGCTGTGGGATCACCAGGTATTGAATCAGTTTATAACATCTACAAGATTATATTTCCTGATCCTAATAGACCCTTTTCGCTTAAACATGTTTTCTTTAAATTTTTTCCATTTTTGGACCATGTCAGAAACTTATTAGGGAGTTGAAATGTGTACATTAACACTATACATGTATCCATGCTCCAGAATATTTTAGATATGAAAATTAGGCATTTTGATACCATATGTATTTGGAATTACGAGATTGGTTTCAAAAATTTCTTGACTCTCTGAAGAGATGTACGGAAACTTCTGGATCTTTCACTTTCAATCAAATGTTTGGGTTATCTGTCTTTGATTTACTGTAGTTTTGGGAATTTTTGAAGCAAGAGGATGTGATAATTACTGGAAAGAAATTGGTTATGAAAGAATTTGAATATTCCTGAGCATGGTACAAAATAAATGTACTGTATGGTTGTTACATGTCCCTTGTTTAATGGGTGTGCATGAGAAGACAAATGAATATGGATACAATTCAAACTCAAACTCAAACTGATATGCCCAAGCTAAATAGGACTGGTGTGTTAGGGGGAGGGGTATGTCATATGAATGTCAGGAGGAGAGGGAGGGCATGAGGAGAGGGAGCTAGGAAGAGAACTTTACTAAGGGCAGTAAATCAGTTTGAGAACTTTACTGTGGAAATATTTCACCTTCCATCATGTAGAACTTATACCTTTTATGTGTACTGTACCTGTAGGTCGCATCAAGAACCTGATTGAAAACAAGCATCTCAAAACAGATTCTATAAGGATGTTTATTCTTGATGAAGCTGATAAGCTGCTGGATGAAAATTTCCAAGAGCAAATCAAGTAATCTTTTAAAATTTGTTATTAGTTCTTGACCTCATCATCAGAAGTGCATCAACATATATTTGATTGTCATAATGAACACTGTATGCAGTAGTTTTTTCTAATAAATGCATAGAATATGTGTCAGTGAGCAATCATATTTACTTAATAATATTCTATACTTTTTCCTATCGTATTTCAGCTGGATATTTTCCACGTTGCCAGGCAACAAGCAGATGATGGCTTTTTCAGCAACCTACCCAGAATACCTTGCAAATCACCTGACTAGATATATGAGAGAACCAACATTTGTAAGACTAAATGCTGCAGACCCAACGTTACAAGGTAGAACAATATTCTTCAAATAGCTTAATTTTCTAGTATAAGCATCCATCAACCACCACCACCACAATCCTCATGGTTACCACTACCAATATCATCATCATCATTATGACCACCACCATCATCATTACAATCATCACTACCACCAGTATAAATACAACCATCACCGCCAGAATCTTTATGACCATCACCAAAATCATCATTGCAACCACCAGCACCACCACCACCACCAGCATCATCATTACAACCACCATAACCAGCATCATCACTGCAACCACCACCACCCTCATCATTGCAACCAAAACCAGCATCACCACCAGCATCATCATTACAACCACCACCAACCTCATCATTGCAACCACCACCACCAGCATCATCATTGCAACTACCACCAGCATCACCACCAGCATCATCATTACAACCACCACCACCCTCATCATTGCAACTACCACCACAAGCATCATCATTACAACCACCACCACCATCATCATTGCAACCACCACCAGCATCATCATTGCAACCGCCACCACAAGCATATCATTGCAACCACCAGCAGCATCACCACCAGCATCATCATTGCAACCACCATCAGCATCACCATCAGCATCATCATTACAACCACCACCA